TTTGCATGATAACTTTTAGGATTGATTAGTCTCCCATTAGTGTTCTTTCTTCTCTTCTCATCTTCAAACATTCATAAAACACTTAATAAAGAATGACAAGTGTTGTACGCTACAAGCCTTAAGCTATTTGGGAAATGATGATTGGATGGTCGCCTCTCAATTGTATAGAATGTTAGTATATGTCCTTTGGACGATATGCGACGCATTCGCTCCTGAGTCATAGTCTTTAGTGCAACATGAGTTACAAATTAAGTTCAAAACACTTCTTCTCTAAAAACACAAAAACACTTCAAACCTTTTTCATCCTTCGGGATCTTAATCAGGAAAATCCTTTCAGATAAAATAGTGTCGTTAACTATTATTTCTACCGCAAACGGTAACGCCTAAGTCTCCAATGGTCGAGCTGCATACACCAACTGCTAGAACTACTTGTTAACCCTACTCGGGCCTAAAAAACTTTTGAACCAAACCGGTGTTCTTTTTAGCCCGAACTACGTTTGCTCTGATCTTTCATATCAGATGAAAGTATGTAGGTATAAGACGCGATGTCTTAGCGAGCAACCTTCCCCCCTTTCACCCGTAGTCAGTCGAGCTACGTTGTCTCTGACTTTCCCATTGCACGAGGGAGTACGTAGGCACAGAGCGGCGATGCTCTGCCGAGTCACTTCTCTTTTCTTTTTCTTTTGTCCATAAGCCTTTAGCTAGATAGTTTCAATACACCCTATTAGTTAGACAACAATGCGTGAATCCCGTCGAGTACGACGAACGTGAGGGGTGCTAATACCTTCCCCTTGCGTAACCGACTCCCGAATCCAGACATGGTTGCGGTGACCTTGTCTTTCCCTTTTTTCGTTAGGTTTTTCCTATCGTTTCCTTTCCATCTCTTTGGGATAAATAAAGAAAGTGGCGACTCTTCTATTTTTCATCCGATTGTTTTTCACAGTAGCAACATGTGGGCCTAAGACCATCAAACCTAGAAGCGACAAAATTTGGCTACGTTGATGAAGAAACTTTCGAAATCTTTGCAGTGGAGGGTTTGACGGACAAAGATTGGAGGAAACCTTTAGTCGAATACCTTCGAAACCCTTCAGCGTCTGCAGAACGAAAGGTTAAGTATCAAGAACTAAGTTATGTCCTTCTAGGCAACAAATTATTCAAAAAAACCTCTGAGGGGGTTCTACTCAAATGCCTTAATGAATCGGAGGCGTACCTGACGTTGTCCTCAGTCCACAGTGGAACATGTGGGGCATACCAAGTAGGCCACAAGATGAAATGGTTATTAGTTCGCCAAGGCATGTATTAGCCTACTATGTTAAAGGATTGTATTGAGTTTGCCAAGGGTTGCCAAGAATGCCAGGTCCATGCTGGCATACAACACGCTCCAGCGAGCGAATTACACTCTATAGTCAAACCTTGGCCTTTTAGAGGATGGGCCTTGGACCTGATTGGGGAAATTCGACCAGCGTCCTCCAAAAACCAAAATTATATCCTAGTGGGAATAGATTACTTCACGAAATGGATCGAGGCGATACCTCTACCAAAAGTAGATCAAGAAGACGTCATTGATTTCATTCAGAAGTATATCATTTATAGGTTTAGGCTACCAGAAACAATCACAACAGATCAGGGGTCAATGTTCACTGGTCGAAAGATGCAGGAGTTTGCCAAAGAGATGAGATTCAAGCTCTTAACATCGACACCTTATTACGCCCAAGCGAATGGCCAAGTCGAGGTAGCAAACAAGGTAGTAATTGGTTTGATAAAAAAGCAAGTGGGAAGTAAACCAAAAAATTGGCATAAAAAGTTGGACTAGATCATATGGGCATGTCGAACGTTCCCCAATGAAGCAACTAATAGCACTCCTTATCGACTGACTTTTGGGCACGATGCAGTACTGCCTGTCGAGATCTACATACAGTCAGTCAGGATCCAGAGACATCATGAAATCCCTCATGAAATTTATTAGGACATGATGCTTGATGAGTTGGTGGATCTAGATGAGGAAAAACTTAAGGCTCTGGAACTTCTGAGAAGGAAAAAGAAAAGAGTGGAGAAGTCATATAACAAGAAGGTTAAGGCTAAGGCCTTTTTGGTTGGAGATTTGGTATGGAGAGTGATCCTGCCTATGGATCGAAAGGTCAGGTCTTTAGGCAAATGGTCCCCAAAATGGGAAGGCCTATTCCGAGTCTCGAAGGTTTTCTTCAATGGAGCATACGAAGCAGAAGAGCTAAACGAAGATAGGAGGGTATTAAAAGTAAATGGCAAGTATTTGAAAAAATACAAGCCTGCGCTTCAGGAAGTGAAAATATCAACAGAGTAATGCTAAATGTAGAACAAATAGCCATACATGGTATTAATATAATATGCCAAAATGGCTCAGTACATTACAACATGAAATTAAAACTATGGCTTACAAAAGGCCAGCAAAGGATAAAGCATTAAAAAAGGTCATAAAGGACTAGAAAGGGAGATTGTCCTGCATCTTGAAATATTTCGACTTTTGGAGCTCGAGGCGTTTCTGGCACAAGGTCTTGTCTGATTTCAGTTGAGCAACCTCTGTTTCCTAACGACGAGCCTCCTCAGCAAAGGTGATGGCATGTTCAAGCTCAGTTGATAAAGCGGAGTCGTCAAAGGAAGATAATTCAGTATTTTTCTTCCTAGCTTTCGATATCTTATTTCGAAGCTTTTTGATTTTTTGCTCCCAACATAAAATGTTCTTATCATTAGTGGCGATCTCTTGTTGGTTTTTCTCCTTTCTCTTCTCCAACTCTGCAACCTTGTTCTCAAACGAAGCGACGACGTCGAATTAAGCGATGCCAAAAAAAAAGTTCCTTTTCTACATACAGGTCGAAAAAGACATTTTTTTGGGGGGAAATTTGTTAGTCCATAAATTCGACACCTCTTATGGATTAAGATATTTAAATAAAATATTAAAGTCTTTTAAAGAGCTTGTCGAAAGGCCCGAGACCGTCGAGAAAAGGAAGCTAAGATGTTCTGGGGACTTAGAGAAAATTCTGGATTTTGAAGAGTTTGGCCTTCGACCGAGATGGTTGGTGGGAGATTAATGAAATATTCGAAATTCAAATAATGGAGGGAGTAGTTATACTTTCTTATGACTAAGAGGGACAAGTGGCACTCCTTGGGCAAGGGACTTCATGCGCTGTGACATGTGTCGGAAGAGGATAGCCTTAGGTGGTTATTGTTAGTTATTTTTTACTATTATAAATAGGAGTTTTTAGAGATAGAATCAAGGGTGTTGTAATTTACTATTTGTGCAAGTCACTCCTAAGTTTACTCAAAGTATCCGAGTGTAGAGAAAAGAGTATCAAGGAGAATGTACGTGATGTAAACACATCATCTTTACTTTTCAATGAAGTTTACCTTATTTGCTTAACTTTACAAAGTTTCTTTACTTTTCTTGCAACCTCTCTATTTTCTATGCGCTTTACTTTATCATTCGCCCTCAATCCTTTTCTAGGACTTCTGTCTCTTTCTTTCTAAAATTCTATCTTTTATTTCTCTCTAGTCGAATACGCAATTTTATCATTAGAACCTTTTACCACAATACTGTCGAAGTGTGTAATTTAGATAGATTTCAAAACTTAACCTTTAGCACATGTCCTAGGATCAATCTGATCGATCCTGTGAGTCAGCAAAGTTAGATTTGGAAGATCAACGGTTTTTTTTTCATTTTTCAAGGGAAACACCATCTACTAACCATGGTGCTCACTTGTCTACAATATCTCTTTGCTTCGCGCTCACCGCACCACTTGTTGTGAATTGCGACAAAATTCAATATCAATTTGTGAGGTAAAGAACAATAACAACCAAAATAAATGGTTTTCAGCAATAATAATCCGTACATAGATAATATAACAGAATAAGGCAAGAAAAAACTGAAGGTTTGTTTACCCAGTTCGATCAAACGATCTACTCTGGAGGGGAGAGCAGCTCTCCAATTGACTATACTCAGAAAGTTGTTACAAGAGATTACAGATGAATTACAAGAAAATAGCCTTCCCCTATAGGTTCCCAAGAACAATCCTATTTTCTACCCATGTGTTTCCCAACCTCTCAAACTCTCAATATATGAATCACTCAAACCCAAGATGTAATAGTGTTTCACAATAACCTTAAACAACTCCAAATGTTACCTAAACCTTTGCTTTTATAAAGTTTTCCTTGTGAATAGCTGAAACCATATGCTATATCTTTAAACTCTTACTCTCCTTTATTGGTGTAAACTCTAAGATTGTGACACACCAAATATATAAGAGATACATATTTATAATAACAAATATCCAACAAACAAAGTCCAAAATCACATGGATCCATGTATCGAATCGAAAAAGTCCGAAAACTCAAAAATTACTATTCACCATACGGATAATACTATTTATCCGACCGATTTTTTTTCTCAACTTTTCGTCCGACTTTCTAAAACTTCTAATTTTTGCGGTAAATGCAGTCTCCAAAATATATATTTTTTCTCTTTATCAACAAAGGTTTTAAGGCATATTTAACACATATAATACTTGAACTATCTTTTCAAATCACTGATTTACTAAAATAATCAGAAAGAAAACACTCTCTTGGAGAGTTGAATTAAGCAAATGAATAAAATAAGCTCGACAAAGCAATCAAACATGACAAAGAAAGATATATACCATTGACATTCCTAAATTCCTAACTTCCCACGATGTCACTACATTTGACACAACACATATTTTTTAATTCATCAACGACAACTCAATCATCAAATAACAATGAAAAATATATATCATGCAGATCCTATATTCTTAAATGAAAAGCTGTCATCTTATGTCACAAATATATATATACAATATAAATCACATAGAAAATAAACAAAATCTCCTTGTTTATACATATGTGTCCAACTATGATAAGCATCTTGGTACCATTTTTTCCTTGTCAACTTCGTCCAATTCAAAACAAGATAAGAAAATGACTCTATTCACACTAGGTTGGTTCCAAAACTCATGTTTTATGAAGTTTTATCTAACATCATGAGCTTGATCATTGACTTAACCATATTATATATGGTTTTGTTCTTTCTGTCATTGAACATAGTTTTGTGTATTGAAATCGAAATCAACGATTTTTATCCACAAGAAAGACATGTTTTGTTACTTATAAGAGATTCATTAAACTCGTCCGTGGATTTGCATGGAAATTGGACAGGACCACCTTGTATAAACAATATTAGTAGATGGTTTGGTATCACTTGTTCGAATTGGCATGTTGTTGATATCACAATTCATGGTGTTAATCTTAGTGGCTATTTACCTTCAACGTTCCTTCAAAACATAACTTTCTTGAGGCGGATTGATTTCAGAAACAATGCACTTTTCGGACTATTGCCGAATCTCACAGGTTTGGTTTTCTTAGAAGAAGTGAAGCTTTCTTTTAATCATTTCTCAGGGTCAATTCCTTTGGAATATGTTGAGTTACTTGGTCTTGAAGTTTTGGAGCTGCAAGAGAATTACTTAGATGGTGAAATTCCACCTTTTGATCAACCATCATTGAGAAGTTTCAATGTTTCATATAATCATTTGGTAAGGAAAATTCCTGAAACTTCTTTGCTTCAAAGACTTCCAAAAAGTGCTTTTGGTGATAATTCTGAACTTTGTGGAAAGCCATTGGATAAGCCATGTCCTCCTTTTGCTATTCCACCTAGTCCTTCAATGGAGAAAAATACGAAAAAGCTTCAAGTTTGGATTATTGCTTTGGTTGCGTTTGGAGCTGCTTTGTTTCTTTTTCTGATGATTATTGCTATCTTGTTTTGTATAAGAAAAGCTAGAGGAAATGAAACAAGAAGAAACAATCCAACAAGTAAGTCATTTCTTATAAATTTATCGTACTTCTGTCTGAGTTGACTTATTTGAGTTTATATACTGTGATAAGCACGCTGAGACGCTATTTAGCAGATATTGTAAAAACAACTTGTGACATGTCCATAAGTTGTTTTGGTTACGTATCCAAATTTTTTAAATGTCTTAAACCTTTTAGTATATTTCTTATAGGGCATGTTTTTGGAGCATGGGCATCTAATGTAGGGAATAGTGAGGATTCTGGAAGATTAGGCCAATTAGAATTTTTCGACAAGAAACTTCAAGTTTTCGACATGGATGATTTGTTAAGAGCATCAGCAGAGGTTGCAGCAAGAGGAGAATTTGGTGTTACATATAAAGCAACACTTGAAACTGGTAATGTTGTTGCAGTGAAGAGACTTAGTTACATGAATGAATTGAGCAAGAAGGAATTTATTCAGCAAATGCAATTGTTAGGACAGATAAAGCATGAAAATTTAGTTGAAATTATCTCCTTTTATCATTCAGAAGATCAAAAGCTTATCATATATGAACTTGTCTCTGATTGCACTTTGTTTGAACTCCTACATGGTTAGTGTTATTTATTTTTTAGCCTTAAATTAAATGTATTGAAATTATAAAATCATGCCTAAGTGTGTCTGTGCAAAACTAACTTGACTTGCAAAAGACACAAATAGACATGGCAAACAGGCATGTCTGCTCTGTCAAAATCCGTCCTAAAACAGGACAGAGACAAAACCTTGGCTCGGTTCGTAAAAAATGGACGGGGTGAGCCTTGGTGTAAGGCAAGTAGCAAAAAAAAAAGTCTGTCTTGTTTAGGCCTGTACCCGCCAAAACTTGCCAAAAAATGGGCGAGCAAAATAGAGGGTTGCCTCGGTCCGTTTTGCCACCCTTACATTTAAACATGCATTCAACTTTTATGACTGATTATACATTAACATTCATGACGTGTTGGTGCTAGAGGGAAGAGGAATAGGAAGAATACCACTTGATTGGAGCACAAGACTTTCAATTATCAAAGACATAGCAAAAGGACTTGATTTCCTTCATCAATTTTTATCTTCACACAAAGTTCCTCATGCAAATCTCAAATCATCAAATGTTCTAATCCATCAAACCAACCAAGGTTACCATTCCAAACTCACAGACTACGGTTTCTTGTCATTACTCTCATCATCCAACAAAAATGCAGAAAAGCTATCAATACGCAAGTCACCGGAATTCGTTAAAGGGAAAAAGCTGTCACACAAAACCGATGTATATTGCTTTGGTATCATTATGCTAGAGATTATAACAGGAAAAATTCCGGGAGGTGGCGAAGTTGAAGAAACGACGAGTAATGATCTTTCGGATTGGGTTAGAACTGTGGTGAATAATGATTGGTCTACTGATATATTAGATTTGGAAATATTGGCTGAAAGAGAAGGACATGATGCAATGTTGAATCTTACTGAGATAGCTTTAGAGTGTACTGATTTGATACCTGAGAAAAGGCCTAAGATGAGTGTAGTGTTGAAGAGAATTGAAGAGATGGAAGAGATGATAAAAGAGAATGACTGAAACAAATTTGAGTCAATAGAGAAAGGTGTAATGTAATGTGTTGCATATTCATCATAACATTATTTTTATATGAGAAAGAATGACAGATTATTCAATGTAGAAATGGATTAACTCCTCCATATGTTGGAAGAACAATTTTTTAGAAGTGATAAAAATCTCTTTTAAAGTTGAGAAATTATTGTGTTCATTGTTTTTGAGACTTTTATATCTATAGTATTTAGCATGTTTTGATTAATGATATCAGATGTTCTCACTTTGATAAGAAAATGAAGCATTATTTATTATTTAGTAACTAAATTCATTAAGGTAATGGTATTATTTTGGAGTGGAGCAAAAAGTCAGTAATAGGTTAGTGAAGTCCATCATGATAGGTCTCTAGCACTACTGAGGTGGAGGTCTCCAATAGATAGAAAGATAGAGAGAGAGTGTATCTGTAAGGTTAACCATCAATCACTTAAATCAATGAAGGAACTTGCAAGTATGTAATAAATTGTATCTTCGACAACTAAATTTTATTAAATTATACCGGTGTTTAACATGTAACACAAATTACTGATAGTTTGGTCCAATCATAGACAAAATCAATGTTAAGATATACTAATATACTTACAGTTTTAGTTAAGGGGAGGTATTGTTTATATGTCGGTTCAATTCAATAATTGGTGGAAAATTTGACTGACACAAAGTCTGATATGTCGTCAACCATTAGGGACAACCTCATCCTAAATACTCCCTATTCGCCCAATCGTAAAAAAAAAGAAAAGGAAAAATACATTTTTCGAGTAGAGAAAACTCATGGTCAACAGTCTAACCCCCATCTCCTTAGGAAATGAGGATTCAACGGTCTATTATTGACTGAGGGGGAAGTTATCAAGGAAATCCTAGATCCAAAGTATCTCTATAAATATCTCCTTAGCCAATGTATTATAACTTACCCAACATAAACACAGGGCTTCACCTCACGTGAGTTCTCTCTCTCTCTCTCTCTCTCTCTCTCTCTCTCTCTCTCTCTCTCTCTCTCTCTCTCTCTCTCTCTCTCTCTCTCTCTCTCTCTCTCTCTCTCTCTCTCTCTCTCTCTCTCTCTCTCTCTCTCTCTCTCTCTCCAACATAAATACCACCAAATAGGGCATGTCTTCGCCGCGGACAAACCCTAATCACCAAAACGCTACTAAGGCATATGGTCATCCCTACTAACTTAGGGGTATCACACACTCACGTACTTTTTGACAAGTACAATGACGCTCACTGTGAGGGCCTAGTAAAACTAACATGGGCCACACCTTCGTCATTACCATTCTTACCACCTTTCTTTGAAGATCACCAATAAAGTTCAGCACTCCGCGGTTAACACCATAGCCAGGGGTTTCGCCAGCGGAGGAAAGTCCAACTCCTCCCGGGGGGGATACGTCAAGAAAGTACTAGTCGCAAATGTGATATCCCTGAGACTCTCCGAAGCTGGCCAGGGATAGTCAAGAGCCAACATGAATTTCTCTAGCAGCGACGGCGGATTCCTCCCTCACGATAACAACCCCATTGTCACCACTGTGTAACACGTCAAATGGGATATCAAGTGAGTCTTAATGGACCTTGGAAGCTCAGCTGACATTCTGTTATGTGGTTATTTACAAAAACTCCAGCTCGATCCTAGCAACATCCAAGCGTTCCAGGGATCGTTAATAGGCTTATCAAGCGAACATGTACAAGTAAGGGGCCACATAGCCCTCGAAAGAGGCAATTGAAGTCAACTAACTTACAGTGGACGCCTTTTCGCCATATAACATCATTATGGGCAGACTCTCTATCAGTGTGTTAAGGGAAATTATTTTCACCTGGTACCTTTTGAAGTACCCACTACCTAATGGGCATTGGGACAGTTTGAGGTGACCAATAAAACGCCCAAAAATGTTATCAGAGTAGTCTAGAGATAGAAGAGGAAGGGCTCTTCCTCGTGGGTGTCCCCCTCCCTGAGGTGTTGAATGTAGACGTTGATGGTTGGGAACCCCGTCTAGGAGGACACAATGAAAGGTTCACGCCTACGGGATACGTGAAGCATGTCTGAATAGTCCCTTCACCCGACCTGATGATGAAGATAAGTACCTCTCTCACCAAGGAATAGGAGCGCGAGCTAGTCGACCAACTCACTAGTAATGTCAAATTTTATGCCTAGGCTCCCTCTAACATGACAAGAATAGACACCCGAGTGGTGTGCCATCATCTCTCAGTCAACCTTTTTCCAATTCAGTTGCGTAGAGGAAGCGGAAAGTTGGAGAGGAGAAGAGAGTCACCATCGATGAAGTAGTAGGCAAACTATTCAGTGCAGGTTCATCATGGAGATAAAATACCCAACCTGGTTAGCCAATGTATTGTTGTTAAGGAATGCGGAAAACAAGTAACACATGTGTGTGGACTTCATTGACCTCAACACGGACTGCTCTAAGGATCCATGTCCCCTGCTGGATATTGGCCTCCTAATCAACGAGCTTTACAAATTCCTGCTCAGAGTACAACCAAATCATAATTGATCCCCTAAACGCACCCAAGAAGACATTCATGTTAAATCATGGCAACTACTAATACAATATCAAGCCCTTCAGCCTCAAGAATGTTAGTGTCACCTACCAATGACTTATAGAAACCGTTTTCTTCCATTAGATAGGGCGGAACATGGAGGTCTATGTTGACAACATGATAGTAAAAACTTTCTAAGGTCACGTCATTCCGGCAGACATAGATATCCTAAAGTCAGATAGGAGGTACAACATGCACATGAATCCCACCATGTATTCCTCCAGGTTACATGTAGGAAAGTTCATGGGGTACATGGTGAAAAAGAGAGGCATTGAACCAAATCCAAAAAAATGACAAACTGTTATCAACGTGAGGAGCCCCACCAACTTCAAAGAAGTTCAACAACTTACAAGTTTCCTTGCCTCCCTATCTTGTTTCCTCTTCTGTGCAGGTGGAAAGGCATTCCTCTTGTTCACTGCCCTAAAGAAGAAGAAGAGGTTCAAGTGGACTGGAGAGTGAGACGAGGATTTCTCAAAAATAAAATTTTTCCTCACGTCACCATCCATCCTTACTCTCCCGAGAGAAGGATCGACACTGCTCCTCTATCATTTAGTAACCGATCGGGAGATGAGCTCAGTGCTCATCCAGGAGACAGATAAGACTGGAAGACCCATGTATTTCATAAGAAAAGTGTTCAAAGGCGCCAAAACATGTTATCTAAATATTGAATAGCTAGATTTAGCCGACATCATGCAAGAAATCTTCATCCTTATTTCCAAGGACATAAAGTCCTTGTGAAAACTAATTATCTTGTTTGACATGTTATGAAGAAACCTGATACAGACCCATTTGGACAAGGTCCAACACAAGAAAAAACGGAGCCCAATGAGAATGAGGAGACTAATATGGAGGAGTCAATTAAAGAGAAACGTGTCACTAAGCCACCTTATTGGATGAAAGACTACGTGAGCTATTGACATCAATAGCAACTTCTATTTTCTGTTATAATGATGCTTTTTTTATTTCCATTCCGTATTTTCCGCAAGTGGTTAGACCATCCTTGCTTTATATACGTGTAATTTGGCCTTGGAAGGGCATGCTTATAGTAAAGAAAATTCCCTTTTCCTCCTTCATAATCTCTCTCTCCTCTTATTCTGTTTTTGGAGTTTACACTCACTCGAAGAGTGCCTTCCTTATATCCATACAATCTCTACTGTACAGGTTGTATCATTGATGCTTTCATCATGAACACTAATGACATCATGAACGCCCTTCAATCCAAATTGGAAGCTCAAGCATCTGAATTCCGTGAGCTGGTGAAATCGTCGTTGGAATCACATGCTGAATCCATCCACAATACATTACATGAACATCTACTCGCCATTGATTCCAAAGTTGCGAATGCGCGCTTGGGTGTTCCCGGGTCACAATCTAGCTTCTCTAATCAAGCATCTCGTTCGATGAAGTTAAACATTCCCAGATTTGACGGATCCAACCCTTAGAAATGGGTATTTCAAATCGAAGCTTTCTTTAACTTTCATGAGACATCGGCCCATACCCGCCTTCAAATCGTCTCCTTCCACCTTGACGGTCGCGCCGCCGCCTGGTTTCAGTGGGCCTCGCGTAATTCGCTATTGAGATCGTGGACCGATTTCCTTGACGTCGTCCATCACCGCTTTGGCCCTACCACTTACGAGGACATTGAAGGAGATCTCTCCAAGCTGTCGCAAACTGGCTCTGTCGCCGAGTTCGAATCACAATTCGAAGACCTCATGAACAAGGTCACAGGTATTTCAGAACCATTGCTCATTAGTTTTTTCATCACTGTCCTTAAGAAGAATTTGCGTAGAGAATTGCAATTCCATTGTCCCCCTACGTTAATGGAAGCATTTGCCATGGCTAGGGCTTATGAGGCCCGTTTGGAGGATAATCCAACCCCCTTCAACAGTTGGACCCAGAACTCTAACCCAACTACAAACACTGGCCCAAACACTCAATCTTCACCAATTATACACACTAGCCCAGCCCAAACACTACACCATCCTTCCAAAACTAATACCCTTCCCCCATTATTACTCAACCCTCCGAACACCACCCCTTTTCGACAGTTACCTCCGGCTGAACTTCGAGATCGCCGTGCTAAGGGTTTGTGCTTCAAATGTGATGAAAAGTGGAGTTCCACACATTGTTGTAAAAGCAAGGTTCTGTTGTTACTGGGTGAGGACGATGATGCCTTCCCCATGGTGGATGAAGAGTTACCCATCGATGATGTCTCGGGTGACATTTCTAGCTTACACGCCTTGGCTAGTCAGCTCCAGGGTCGCTCCTTACGGATTTCTGACGTATATGAACACCATTCGTTTCCTATTCTCATTGATAGTGGCAGTACTCACAACTTTATCAAGCCTACCCTGGTGGAACGTTTAGGCCTTCCAGTTTCTCCTTGTCCACGGTTTAGGGGGCTACTGGATGTGGATCCTTTCTGGTTTATC